ACTTTTGTTACGGTATGAAAGTCTGAGGTGCTTTTTTTTCTTTTTGCTGCTTAAAATGTGCACTGATAATTGCTTTGTTTACTTAATAAAATACCAAATGTATTTCATATGTGCATATTGTATTGCAGGAAGTGCAGCACTTAACCTGTGGCTGATGTGATCCATGCAGCACCTTCCCCGAACTGTCGTCACAGACAGCCTCAGTGTTCCAATAATAAGGTGTCTCATTCTTCCTGACCTAACCTGATCTTTAACCATCTTCTAGTTTTTCAAAATATTCATGGCAATAAATGTGTACTGTTTATAACTGAGCAAGAAGGATAAATATGTCCCCAAAAATTATTATCTTCCCTAATCTTCCAGCAGAAGGTCATACTGGAAAAGTTATGAACAGTTTGCTGAGACCATCTTCTGTAATTAGACACAGGGAGAGTTGATAGAAGTGGAACTTTCCTCCTCACAACAACCTGAGGCATGTCCTGAAGTCAGGCTATCATAAACATTGCAGTACAGGTCAGTAGATTTAAAATTTCTTTCTAAAAGCATGAATAAAGAAACCCGGAATGTGTTACAGAGGATATAATGCACATACCCAGATCCAGGGAGTTTCAAACACAGGTTACTGAAATCTTTGCCTTCCTACCACTGAGGCTTTCAGTGTGGGACTGTGCCTTCAGACAGCAACTCAGCTTTGCTTGTGTCAGGGTGAATTGTCTGAGTTGGGGGCTGCAAGCTGGAAAAACRGTGCACATCTGTGACCTGTTAGCCACATCCGTAACTACCAGGGTACAGATTATTCTGAAACAGTCCAGAGTTTATGTGAAGGAAGAAGGCTTGGTGTGCTGAGTTATAAAAACAGGTGCCAACCTTCTTCTTATGTCTGTGGTGCTCTCTGCAGAGTGTTTTCAGTCTKATTTGAGGCTTTTGCCTGAGAATAGATCTGTGTTCCTAGATGACTTTGATCCCTTGGACCCCCTTTGTGCAGTTGTGGACTTGAGGTTACAAATCACAGAAGTGCCAAAATATTGCAAATACCCAAACCCATGTCTTCTGCAGGGATGATGAATTCCTGTTACCCTTTGCTTCTCACTCACTGTTGCTCTGTGCTCCTTGAAACAGCTGCTGTGCAGATCAGGCTTTCTTGTTGAAGGCCTTGCTGGAAACCCTTGCTTTTTGTTTTACTCTTCAGAGACAAACTGGCTTGAGAATTTTCCTGAGCAGTGTTTTCTCATTTGCTTTGCTCACAGTAAGTATGTTTGCTTTCAGCATCACTAAAATAACATTCAGTTTAGCTTAATTTAAAAAGCACAACACAGAGACACATTTTGTTTTTTAATTACTGGCACTTTTCAGTAATAGGGGGTTGTGAAAACCTGGTTCTCTTCAGAACTGAGTTGAAAGGCTGTTTAATCTTTAGGAGTAAACTGTCTAGGAAAGCTGCCTGCCCCTTAGCAAGCAGGGGAGGATGYAGTGCTTTGTTAGAGATGCGGTTCCTGTCTGAGCTTTGTGTAGGGAACTGGTGTGTCAGAATACCACAACATTTTTTTAATTGGGGAATTATATAATGAGAAGAAATGGGTTTACCTCTTGAGACAATTACTCTTGCCAGAGCAAGAACTTGAACAGCTCCTGAGTTTTCTAGAAGCCCAAATGTAGAGTCTTCATCTGAAGACGTATATAAATTCCTTTGCTGCTTCTTAGTTTCAAAGTCACAAAACTAAATTGAGCTGTACCTCAGGACATGTTTAAAAGAWGTCTTTGCGTGACTTTGTGACATCAGAGGGTCCATTCAGCCAACTGATGGATAAGTCACAGACATTCCCAGCTGCCAAACAGCCCTTCAGCAAGAAAAAGGGACAGGGTGAAACCCCGCATCTTTCATTAGACAAAAAGTGCCCATTTCCAAAGCCTGACGCAAATTTTGTAGCAACATAAATAAATTGCAGCTTTAAAGGCCATGACATAATTGAGATAAAGATTGTGGCTGAGAAATGAGAATTAAGTTCTAAAAACACTGGGAATTATAGTAAATGCTGACAGGAGCAGAAGATTGACAAGATAATGTGAGGGGTAGTGAAAATATGTGCTGAATAGAGGCAAAAGAGCAGTGCTAATGGGAGCATATGTAAACTGAAGAAGAGCTTTCTCCTTGGCCTGTTGTCAATCTTTTGACTTGACCTTTGGAGCTCTCACACTGCAGTGGAGGGAGCAGAAACAGGCTTGACATCTTCCACTGCATTTTCCCAACAAGAAAAATCTGTGAGCTTCTGCTGTCTTCCAAGTTCAAACTGGAGAGCAGAGGGACTTAGCTGATTTTTCAGCTGCATTCTGGCTGGATCAGGAGAACGAGTGAGAAGAAGAGAACTCCTGGGCAGGTTCCCTGAAGGTGTAACATTGCTGCCACCCACTCAGTACCTTTTTGTACCTGAAGGTTGAGTAATACTATGGGAGATGCCTCCCTGAGATAACACATAAGACTAGGAGTGAGTAAAACACATTTAAATCTTCTCTTGCTTCTTTGATGATGAAATTTCCTGAAGCAAAGATCAAAAAACCATGGAATAAAGCGACAACTTCCTTAAATTTCTGTTATGTGGGGCGATAATGGTACAGAGAATATGTTGGATACAAGCACAATGCTTTGGATATCCGGCAGCTGCAGTACACAAGGAGCACTGGGGGTCTTGGATTTCTTTTCATAGCATGTATCTCTGCTTTGTTCGTGGTGGTAACTGCTGAACTTCCCTGTGCCAGCTACAGCCATTTGCCAAGTACTGAGTTTTTTTTTAGAAAAGCAGTATTTGATACACTTTTAGCTTCTTGCATCACTTTAATCACTAAAAGTGAGGAAAGATCCAGCACCATGTTARATCACTGTTTTCAGCATGGCTCAGTGTTCAGTTGTCCACTTATAGGAACAGTTGTTGTCATCATGTTACCATGTCATGCCCTAAAACAATATGGTCTTTGTGGGAGACTGCAGAACATGAGTTCTGAAGTGTAATATTGCGAAAAACATCCTTACTTTCACAGTTCACTCAAAATCCAGAGAAAAGCCTTTTTTACAGAGGAATAGCTAGCTGCAAAACATCAGTGGCTAAAGATGCTAACACCATTAGATTCTCTGTTCTGTGATTGTCACCATACTGTTACCTTTCAGTCCATTAGCTTCTGTCTTGACCTTATTCTGGCAAGCTCCTTTTAGCCCACAGAAGCTGAGTGTTTAATAACTTCTCTCTCAGAAACCAGCCAAATGAGAACGAATGCTGCAGAGCAAGTCTCTTACCCTCATTTCCCAAAACGTGCAGGTCTGAACCTGTAGAAAGATTGCTTTGTTATATAATCTCGCTGCAGTGGAGGCTGCAAACCTCACAAAAAGCAGACCAAAAGTGAAGTCACCCACATTCCCTGCAGCTCAGGCTGGGGGTGATCATACCAGCACAGCCAGACTATAAAGGAACACAATCCAGTTGCTCAGAGAGGGTTCGAGCCAGCAGTGTGCTGAGGTAAGCAGCTCCTTCCATCACTGGAGTGTATACAGGCTCTTAGCACACCCCTCCCCATTGTGCTTTTTAGACATTCCATGGATTGATGTTTCTCACTTCTAGCTCATGGACCTCAGTTCTATTAAAATAAAAATTATTTCCATGTGATTTGAGTGATGCTTCTATTTCTTTAACTTTGAATTTCAAGGAATGCTTGTTGGGTTTTTTCTTCCTGTTGAAACTGCAAGTTTCTTGGAGCGATGTTCTAGTAAAATACATAACTGCAGCTGAAACTTAGCTTGGATTATAGTTGTGGAGACAACTGGTCTCTGTGTTGTGTCCTAGAGTTSTCATGCAACAAAAACATAGTTAAGGTATTTCATAATGCTGGGAATGCAAGGGTGACTGYTGTAAATTTGCTCCTAACTGGAGTAGTGAACTGCAAGTGGGGCTTGGAAGCACTGGCTGTGCTGCCAAAAAGTGGACTGATCAGCCCCCTGTTTTACAACATGCTGCTCATTTCTGAGAGATCTTGCCAATCAAAATTTWTCAAATCCAGATGCCTTGGGCTGAAGACCTCGGTTTCTCCGTATGAAAGCCTTGCAGTGGCCTTAATGCTAATCCTATAGAAATCAAGGGGATTTGGGACACTTCACTAAATATGTTTTGCTGCAGGCTGTTGCTTCTGGCTTGTGCGGGCTGCCTGTGGCTTGTACCCTAATTAGCATGTTTGGGATTTCTGTTTAACTCCCTCTCATCCACACAGGCAGTTATGGGAAAAGGCTAAACTGACTGGAGGAGGCAAGGGTTCTTTTTTCAAAGGTGCAGGTTGATGATGTCCTGCCATATATCCTGCACGCGGTGTTATGCATTAYGGGCATAAGCCAAGAGAAACGTAGAGATGGGCCCTACATTTACACCACTAGAAAATGTAAATCCCCTTGAGRAGTGGTGGGAAGAAGGAGAGGTCTTTCTTTAACAGAAAAGCCATTCAGCATAAGCCACATTCTAATTCTGCATCTAAAGAAGAAGCTAAACTGATCACTGAGCAGAACTAATCTCTCTTTCAAGTCAGTCATTTCACGGGGCTTGCACTGCACTCAAAGCAAGGCAGGGGAGCCGAGGGGAGGCTTCTGTTGAGCTGCAGACACARCAGGAGTTGCCCAGCTACTGATCCCATTCCCTGGACACTCGAGGGATAGGAGTCACCTCAGCCTTCGCAGTAACCACTGGCTTACAAYAGAAGCACGTCTAAACTCACTTTACTGTTCACCACATGGCAAAGCAAGTGAGAGGCAGTCTGGGGTGGAGTCTAACACCTTCACCTTCTTCTTGTGATCCCGGCTTTGGAGGAGCTTGGTCAGTGAAGCCCAGAGAACGGTGGAACTCACCTGCAGCCCACAGAGACACATGCTGGGCAGGAACAGCTGAGCATGCTTGGAAAACCAAAAGTGCACTGAAGTACAGATACTCTGAGATACTACACGGAGATACAGGTTGTTTAAAATGCAAGTTTTTTAAAAAGCTTTATTCCAAACAACTGATTAACCTGTCAAGGGTTTAAATCAGATAATTCAATGTTTTCACAAGTTTCTAATGAGGAAATGCATGGGCCAGAGCCTACATGTGGGAAGGAACTGTTGTGTGCTGCTGAGAGGGTGTCCAGAGGGAAATTCCCCCCCCCCACTGCCTCAATGTGCTAAGATGCATGTTCATAGAGATCAGCCGCAAACCAAAGATATGAGTTTACACAATACATTTGGCCAATCTAAGCAAACAAAATATTTAAGACCTTAGAGATTTTTATGCTTGCTTTCATTTTTCTAATTAATTTATGTCTATTTCAATGCATTTAAGTAGGGGTCTTATGGAGACAGATAAAATGCATTCAAACACACAATTTGTAGCAATAGTTGAATTATGTTTACGGAAGTTAATTCTGCTTTACCAGAATATTAAGTATTTTGTAACAGTTCTGTTTTATGGCAGCCTTCACGTATCCATTCAGTGTCTGATCAAGAGGGAATTCCACATCTGACAGTCTGCAAGTGGAGACCACACAATCTAAATATTAGATTGGCTCTTTCAGTAGATATATGTGCTGCTACATGGACCCCAAAGAGTGCACAAGACCTCTCTCAGCGTAAGGAAAGGAACCTTTCAATTAGCCTCTGCACACAGATATACCTCTCATGAAACTTATAGTCATGATTCAGGCACTCTAAAATAGTTTCCTCAAAGCCCCATGCCGCGCAGAAGAGAGCAAATATTTAATGAATTGAGAATGTTGCATTTCTGTGTCAACAGGACAGCTTGTCTAGTTTTCATCAATATTTTCCTTAAATAAGGCCTTGATCATCCTAGCTGTGATATGCCCATCTGGTTTACCAACAGTGTCATCTTCTCTGTCGCTTGTGCTTGGCATTTCTTCTGGTTCCTTATAAATAGGCACAGCTTTTCCAACCACATACAGCTTTCTCTTCAGAGGTCCCAGTTTTGAGTATGCCTTAAGAAGAAAGAATATTATGCCTTTGCAATTTCACTGGAAAGCAACCATTCTTTAAAAAAAAACAACCCAAAAACAACAACAAAAAACAACACAACCAACAAACAGACCAACAACTTTTCTTTTTAAAGCAACTGTAGAAATGCTGCCCTGGGGTTGTGTTTGATAATGTCAGTAATAATGGGCTTCTTCTGCGAGCCAGCTCATTACAGGAGGCTACAGCCCTGCTGCCTTCTCCTGTGTCTTTTCACCAATATAACCTTCTCTGTAAACCAAATTCGAATCTCAAATTCAAGAAGAATTAAACTAATCCAATACCTCTCTCCGGCCAAAAGGAGAGAGGTCCAAGCCCAGCCATRTGCTTCTTCCACATCTGCACTGGCTCTGATCTTCTCCAAACCTCTAAGCCAACTCAGTTGACTAACCCAACAGAACACTAAATCAGGAGGAGAAAGAAAGGAAGCTTTTCTGCTGGGTTAGAGTCAATCAGCTACAGGAAACGCCAGTGTGCACTGTTCTCTCAGACTCTGCAGTCTGCACCCAGGAACACCTTCATCCTGGCTTTCTGTTGAAGGAATGTTGATCCTTTAATGCTACCGTGCAACACAAATTCTAAAGGACCAGTTATCCAAGCAAACAAATCTCTCATTAGACGACATTCAAAATTCTTTCTAGGGGGAATTTCATCCTGACATTCCATGGGATGATTCCTAGGACACCATTCAATTGCCAAAACGTATCTCATGTTATCAGAGATGCCTGCAGGCATCTGAAACTTCCCCATGAGGCTGGCCTGTAGGACACAGAACCTGTGCTGTTTTGGTCCAGCACCTGATTGACATGGAGTGACCTAACTATCCCAAACAGCACGAGAGGACTATGATCAAGCATCTGAACTGCACACTAAGTAAAGGACATTGGATGCCATAACACCACAAAATAGAATGGTCCCAACAGTAGCTCATGCTCCTCATTGAAATATGTTTGTGTCAGKGAAAGACCTGATAACTTTGACTCATACCTGCAAATCTTCTCCATCTTCATCCAACAAGCTGTCCAGGGCAGGAGAGAAGAATTTTTCCCATAGCTCTTCATCACTGTCTCGACGCTTCTCRTTATCTCTTTTAGATTGAATCTTTGGAAAGGTACTTCTGAGGCTCTTTCCAGCTGTCTTTGCTTTTTAAAGGGAAGAAAAATGATGTGTATGTAATTGTTCAGCCTTATGGAAGTCAGCATCAGTACCTGGTATGAGCATTACCTGCAATCTTATTGTGACTTAGCCCATGCAATGCAAAGAACAGCTTGGTAGGATTTTTAACTGGCAATCCAAGCCCAATGTTCATTTTCCTTGGGGTTTTTTTAATTCACAATTTTTTGTGTTTTTTGTTCACAATTTCTGGTCAAGACCCAGGGACTGAAACTGACTGGAAGTTAGAACTAATGGGTCTGTGGGAGGTGACAGAGAAAAAAAAGAGCTTTTTTTCAGTATCAGTTTTGGTTTTAAGTATCAGTTCAATTTAAATGCTGTAGAGACCTGAATAGTTAAAAAAGTAAGAAAGGCAGCAAAAACAAGTATAAACTTTTTCTATATCCATGTATGTGTATCTATAGGTACATAAATACAAGTTTCTGAAATATAGTTTAGTCTACTTATAACTCCCCTAAAGAGATCATGTCTGCAGCTGACTAATTCTCAGGATGACAGAGGATTCTGGACATGGACTGCCAAGTTACAGGTTTGCCTGGGGTAGTGACCCAGCTTATTGGAACAAAGCCTTGTCCTCCAGGTAACTTGCAAAATTCTAGCAAAGGTTTTCAAAGTAAACGTATACTTAACACAGAAGTCTTAGTCAGCATGTTTGCTGGTGCCTGATTGTTTCAAAAGACCCACCTATGGCTGGGACTGATCAGAACTTCAACTTCTTCATGTGTTCCTAACTGTATGACTTCCATTACTCTAACGTATCTCTTTGATTTTGTACTTTTTTTCATCCTCTCTCTTCTACTYACACAAAGATGTAAAATAAAACTTGTGATACTAAGGAATCCAAAAAGACTGTCCTAAGCAGATAAGCACACTCACATGTTCCTTCTAGCCTAACAGTATATCCTTTTCCTGGGCACACCTACCAGAATAGATGGAGATTCAGCTCAAAATTCAGTACTGCTTACCAAGATTTTCAGTTCAGTCTGAGCTCCATGTAACTTCATCTGCTCTTGCTGGGGATTTATTTATAATTTAACTCTGGTGTATCAGCTGAATGACTGCAAAGTGCATGTACACTTAAAAGTGAAAGCCAACACAAGTTTAAGACTGTCCTCTCAGGGGCAAGATACAATGAAGTTATGATATGGATCAGTAAAGAACTGATTAGGATATGAATCATACCTTCATAAAAGAAGGCCAGTCCTGTAGACTGCATTTCTGGCTAGCTGTAGATAAGTAATTATATTCCACAGTCTAACTCCAATTTCAATTTTAAAACTGTATTACATGTAGGTGGTGATTTTGTGTCCTCATGCAAATTACAATCTATCACTGTTGTGGCTGCCATCAATTGGGAAATAAGGTGTTCACCATGTCAAACAGGTCTTTTGATTAAAAACTTCAGAACTAAAAAGTTTGTAAATGTTCAGTAACTTATCAGTTCTTAAAAGCTGCTGGAATGTGTATTACCTGYGTATTTTCTTGTTTTCATTTTATCCTTAGGAAGTTCTTGCAATCCGGCTTCCTTTCTAAGAAACAAATGCCTAAGTAAAAAAGATAAAATGAAACCCCTATTAGGGATCTGAATTTTCTCTCTAAACTGTCCKGTGCAATGTTTTGGGGTGAGGGGGAGGCCATCCTTTCTGAAAGCCATTGCTGCTTAACCACAAAGGCAGAATAGCGCAATGGTTTAAAAATGCAATGGAGGCAGCCAGGTAGCTTAGTGGCTAATAAGCTGCTCTTTTTAGTTTTAGTGCCTAAGTTCAACTATGTACATGAGACTAAAAGAAAACAAATGTTATAGTCTCCAGTCAGTCCAAGATTCAGACCACAGCTGGCAGCTCTCACTCAGAAGAAATCCAAAGTTTAGAAAGTAGAGAATACTGGCCACTTCTGAAGACTTGGAACTTTTTATGCAATATGGCTAAAATCATTACGCTGGGACTGGAAAATGAAGATGGATCTTTCGTATTGATGCATTGTCCTTTTGATACCATTAGTGTTGACTTTTGTAGTTAATCTTTCTCTAGGGAAAAGCATCATTTCAATACAAAAGAAGCTCATACCTCAGACACCCCTACAGACAGACATTTCCTAAGGTCTCTTCCTTACTCAGTGCCAGGTCATTTGTTTCGCTCAAGATTGCAAAGGCTCCTGTATATGCATATTAATCTTCACATCCAAAGACATTTTGCCAACAGTAACGGAAAAACCTATTATTCAGCACTTAATCTGAAAAGCTGGGGCTGAGACCATCTAATTGCAASACAAAGAAAATATTACCCAGCCCCATTGATATAAAGTGAGTGGCACTAAGTCTTGATAGAGTAATTAAGAACGCAGTTCCTTCCCTCAAATTTTGTATTTGGGAAGTCACAATGTTACTGTCATCCTTCAGACATACTACTACTCAGTCAAATCCTGCCTTCCGTCAACTGGGAAACTACCTTGGCTTTGATGTGGRAAAGCCCAAATAGCTCCAGAGGCAGACAAGAGTATTATCTTTAAAAAAAAAAAAATCACTTTTGAGTCCATAAAAGCATTATTTTACCCCTGTACTTTCAGCTGCTGAAGTTTGATATCAGTCASTTTTGCCACTAAATTGGTGTTTTCTTCTTCCAGAAGCTGGACACAAGCTTTCAAATCACTCTCTTCCTTTCGGTAGATCTCAACCTTTTGACAATTTTAAAAAAGGAATAAAGTCTTAGAATTTTTGGAAAGCTTTCATAGCAACTGCTTTACCAGTACATACCTAGAAAGAATGCAGCTGTATCAGCAAGATTGCATGCTCGGTGGGGAAACACAGTGACACATTTTCAGACGAAGGGGAAGGTCTCTGATTCTTTCACACCTTTATTAGAGTCCTTTTATTGTCACAGTCCATGTGTGTCAATCACAGCCACACATTTGGGCTATGCAAAACCTGACAGCAAAACCTTCTCATGTAGTCAAACAGGTCTGCTAGACAGGAGCTCTGGATTTTTCTTTTTCACTTTCACATCAGAATTTTGAGGGAGAAAAAAGGTTCTTTGACCCATAAAATTCAAGGTCTTGCTCAGCAAGTGTTGATTTTTTAATTCCTTCTAATACACAAAACCTTCTTACCCAGAATTGGTGAAGTTTTCAGTCCAAGTTACCACGACATCTCTTCCCCCAGGGGGTTGTTGGGCACTGGAACAGGCTCCCCAGGGAAATGGTCACAGTCCCAAGGCTGATAAGGAGCATTTGGACAACACCCTCAGGGCACATGGTGGGATTGTTGGGGCTTTGCAAGGCCAYGAGCTGGATTCTAGGATCCTTGTGGGTCCCTTCCAGTCAGGATGTTCTGTGATTCTATGACATTGGCTAAGCCCAGGCACTACTTGCTTTCAGACTGGAAATTGCCCCATGTCTCCATGGAGTGATGCTGACCAAAGGATACCGTTTATTCAGTGCCCACAATTTCTCCCACTTTTGCTGAAGTACAAGCAAGTTCTTACCCACTTGCAGAGGATTGAAATGTACTATGGGAAAGATACCTTCCCAGAAAACTCAGCCATATGCATGTGTTTAAGAGCAGTACCGAGTGATCTGAAAGGGTCCATTCTCATCAAAGCAAAATTAACCYAGCTATAATAATCCAAATTTGCAATTAAAACTAGTTCCAACTTTTCTCAGGGATTAAAAAGGTGAAAATGACTGGACCTGAACCAGTTACAAGATGTGGCTTGGCACCGTGAGGTGATGCAGCTTTGCACCATCTTGGTGTGACACAGTAACCATGGAAAAATGTGGCTGAAGTCTCCAAGTCTGTTTAAATTTGGAAGTAACTAATCTAAGGCTATTTTGGTAAGTCATTTTTCAGTTCAGTGGCCAAACTGAAAAAAACCCTCAAAAAAAWTTTTTGAACTGAGACAAAACTAAAATTTTTGGTTTATCTCCCCCAAAGGAAATACTGAAAGAGTCTGTCAGCTACATATAAACATTAGTCTGAGAGAAAATATTTCATCCATGTAAGAAAAGCAGAGAAAATGAATGGATGAATTCAGAGGACTGGAGAAGTTAGTGATAATAGTTTTGTTTTCCCCCAAAATTCAAAGCACTAATTCATAACATAGGAAAGTAGCAACACAGGAAAGTAATTCATAACATAGGAAACTTCTAGTTGAGAGGAAAGAAATCCAAATCCCTCAGCTCTGAGGTGAAGGCCTGTCAGGGCATAAGAGTACTCCAAAGTGCTCTCTTGTTGGCACTGCTAATGTGTGTAAAATTTTAAGTGTTCAGTGAGACAAGAGGTGGAAAGTGAATTCATACTCATTCAGTGACAGGATGTATAGATTTGAGCTCCTGCTTGTTTATACAGAATGAAACATTAATTCTTTCACATTTCTTTTCCCTACCCTTATTGCTTCAGAAGCTGTGGTTTGGACACCCGCCCTGGAAAGTTAAAGATGCATGCTCAGAGCTCATTAAGGGGAAGAAGGAAAGCTGTGTCCCTGCATACTGGCAAATATCTTAAACTAGTAAGTAAAATGGAGAAACCTCTACCAGGTTGTTGATGTGGCATGGAAAAGTAAGAAGTGCATTTATTAATTTCCCATAAAGTTTTGCTCAATTCTCAACTGTGAGGCTGTAAAAAAATAGAAGGGCATTCACCCACCAATATCTCATGCTTAGATTTGATCGAAACAAAGAACCTATATTAACTGGAATAAATAAAATCAAACTTTCACCATGGAAAAAATTAGTTTCCTAAATCTGGCTCACAGAAGTTTTACTTGACATGAAACTTACAGGTACCTGATACATAGCTCTAAATTGCCATTAAAGAAAGTATAAAAGCTATCAAGCAATTAATTATAAYTATATATGATTTTGATTATCCTCTCTTCAGCGTATAGTCCCCACTGTTTCTTTATTACCTTCCATTTACTTTCTCAAACCATTTCTCAGAACATGTTTCCAWCATCCTTATCCATTTTCTTTCAATACAGCAGCACTGGAACTTTAATGCAATTCAAACCACCTTTCTTCAGCTACTTACCTGGTTGATCTTTTATACTGTATAGTATCCCAGTCTCCACAGATATAAATACTTAATTGTATGGAACATKGTAGTCCTTCATGTAACTCCTTGGGCAGGAAACGGGGTCCTCCATTTGTGAAAGCAGATGTCCACCTCTTTATTCACCACATTGCACTGTTTGCTGCTCAGGATTACAGATTAATTACTGGAAAATTGCTCTCCTCTGCCAACAGAAGTCTCCTGAGGCCCATGACTAGAAACAGCTCTGACCAYAGGCCACAGTATTTCAAACATGAACTCCCGTGATAAACTGGAGGTGAGTGGTTCTCTTACCTCTTCTTTTAGCCACACATTCTCTTCAATCTCTCTGCGACAGTGTTTGTCTAAGTAYCCCACAGCATTCTGAGAAAACACAATTTAGGACCGTCTCATGTGAGAGAAGARCTTTGACAGTCCTACATGCTATAAAGAAGAATCTTCTGATCTTTAGCAGGAAATAATTAAGAAACATCCACACAACAGACTGTAGCATCCCCTGAGGGATTACAAGGGGATTTAGTTCACAAGGCCAGATGTTTCTCCTCCATCATCCTGCCTAGAGCAGATTATATGTCAAGCAATTTACCAATACTTTTTGATTTCCCATAKTAAAATAGGACATTTCTCTTTTTTGCCTAACAAATTATTCTGTGTTCCCAGTACTGTTCAAATCTTACAGCTTTCAGAAAATCAAACCTTCAGCTATTAAGAACCCCAAGTAAAACCCCAAATGAGGCATTACTGATCTACAAGTGACCTAAGCACGTAGAGGTCTGTGCTAATGAGCCAAGGCCAAAATTTAATTATTAATGTCAGTAAAGTGGAAAGGAAATGGGAGGGAAGATACCCCTGTAGATCACCATAAACACAGTCCTTTGGATTATGTTCTCACATGACTGGAAGTTCCAGCACTGAATTTAGGGAATCTAAACACCTAAAAAGCTTAGTGATTTGTACTGAAATACTGCATTTTGTAAAAGTAAGAAGTTGTCACTAGAGTTATTTGTAAATCATATTTTCAATTCAGAGCTGGTAGAGATGACAAAAAAAAWGTATCAATAAACCTAAGTTTTTCTGAGACTGCACTATCATGCCAATTTAAAAATTTTGTACTTTACAAGTACAGTGAAACTTCATTTTTTGAATTGATATCAGTATAATTTTATGCAATCTCTTTATATGTTACTGTTTTTTGAAGTTGGCACAAATGTCAAAATCAAGGCAATGACAAAAGCAACATGTTCTCAAACAAGTCTTGTCAGTGCATGGTGCCCCAGTTTCCTATGTCTCATTTGTAAAATGACCTCACATCTACCCATTCTTATGCTGATGGAAAGAAAAAACGGTACATGAATGTATAGCAATAACCAAYTCCATGTGTACCAAGCCTCACAGCTTATTTTACTCTCAATTTATTAGAGAAGTTCAAAGTCTTAATGTGAGTTAGAATAATTAATAAGGCAGAGTACATGTATCCCAACTATAATGCAGTTAGCAGTTTTTAAAAAAGCAGAAAGAATACCTTAAGGGCCTCCTCACTGAGTAACTTCATGTGCCKGTCAAACATTCTCGCATTTTCTTCTCTCACCAGCTTCATAGCTTCTCTATAATATTCTTCAAAACAAAGAAACATGGGAATGAGGAATCATTATTTGACATCAATTTTCCCCAATAACAGATAGATAACTGGCATATTGTTACTAAACTGGAATTTATCAGCAGTGTCGCCTGCATACATGCTCCACAGAAAAGGATTCAAATATCCTTCTTCACAGAAACTGTCCTCCTAAACCCAAAGAATGCAATTGTTAACTACAAAACTTGAAATTGGAAGTGGCTCATACATTTCTGTTGACAACTACAAGAGCTGAGCTATTCACWACTAAAATATTGGCATCTTAACATTAAATTTGGTCTCTATCAATAGCAGAGATCCTGGAGCCATGTGAGAGATTTGCTTAGAAAAGTTATTTTTTAGATATAGAGGCATATTGGRTCACCCTATCCATGTGACATTTTTTCAGATAGTTATTATAAAGAGCCTAAGAAATTTTCTGACTTATCTAAGGCTCTAAGATTTTAATTTAACAACAGGACAAAATGGAGAATGTGGCAATAGCCACAACGATCTGCTTCTCTCATTATTTGTGGTCATTATTTAGAAAGCGTGTCTTACATTGAACTGAATGTTTGGCTTCATGTTCTAGTCACTTGCTATTTAATTATTTCCATTAGTTCTTTTTTTGTTCTTCTAAATAGTCCACTTCTGCTTGACATTTCCTCCTTTTGAAGAAATGAATGAGATTGTAGTAATTTTCTTTGAAGGACGGCACTGCATACTTGTTCCAAAGGCTTGAAATACAGTCTTCCTCTGCACTTGTGCTGCAAACAGCCTGTTTCTGATCTGGTTTTAAATAAATATCTGCTCATGGGTGCACAGTGGATGGAGTCAAAGGCAGTCAAATACGAAAYGTACATTAGTTTTGCATTAGTTCTTAATTTAACACTGTGGAAGCTAAACTCCACCATATAGACATGGTAGAATGAAATGGAAATACTTCTATACTATAATTAATTCTGTTTCATTATTTCAGACAGCTAAATAACCTGAGTTGTACTGGGAGAATGAAAGAAAAGGAGAAATTGCATGTCTGAACAGTTCCTAAAGAGGCTATTTTCCCTAATCCTCTCACTGCAACAGTTTTCCCCACACCTCACCTAAACGTGTGGCTCTCTTTTGCTTCCTCTCATGTCCAGCTGTTTTGTTTAAATGTCACTGCCAGACAACACGAACTGTGCCAGTGTCAAGATCTTCAGTGATACACACAGAGACAGAAACATGTTCACCTATGCTTATTCTCTAAGCCTGTTACACATTCAAGGTGTAACAAGCCCAATTTGTTGCTGCCTTGCTCTGAAAGCTTGTTAGATTTCTGATGGAAGGCTGCACTCTCCAGACACTTTCTAGGTTCAGTTTTAGGGAGCTAAGCAAAATAGTATGCTAAACATCCAATAATGGCAGCATCTTTTTGCAGTATGCTACATAGGCCACTTAAATATGTACCAATGTAACATGTCTTTCAATACACTTCTGTTGGACCACGAATTTTTGACTCTGTACCCTGTGACATGCAGGAGGCCAGACTGCATGTTCTTATTGGCATTCTAYATAACAGCCCATTCTCTTTTACATTTCATATTTCAGCAGCTATATAGCAAAGTTTTAAATCAATTTAAAACACAGAAAATGCATAATGAAAAAAACAAACTTCTCCTGAATACAGAGACAGGTATCTGTCAAGCTATCTGGAAATGTAGAAATCACAAGGCAGATCTTAATCATGGTAAAATATGTTTTGAGAGACAAAAATATAGCTGGCTGGCTCTTATCCACAGTAGTTGATGCCTGGTATTGGCTRGCACAGAATATACAGAGACCCTTAGAGCAGTGTCACTGCCTGTTACTACCAGCTGCTTGGCTGTGGTCATGCATACTGAGAGGGACATAAAGAAAGAAAACCAGGACATCCTTCTCCCGTTGGAAGCATGGGTTATGTAACAGCAAAATATGTTAATGATTTTAAAATAATGCGGTAATAAAGAAATCTTTGTAAAGCACTCAGCATCACAATATATAAGCTCTCAAATGAATTCCACTGTTGACAGTACTGAAACAGTTCCCAGTATGTGTCTGTCTGTACTGGCAATTTTGCAGAGCCTCACACTGTGTATCTAGGAGGAAAGGTCCAGACCTCTGGCTAAAGGGCTCCCTCTAGTCCTGCATGTAAACCAGTGTTCTCCACAGAAAAGACTGTTCCAAGAATGAGCTCATGCTACTCTCCTGTCAAAGGAGCTTGCAATATGTGAAGTGCTTGCAGATGATGAGAAATAACAGCAGCAGAGTCAACATTTTCAAGTATCACTGCTAAGGGAGTCCTCTGTGTAGGTGACCTAAATATATGTGGACTTATTTTTACAAAAARCTGCTGTCCTTCACAGTAACGTTTTTTGAAAATGGGTTGCCTGTRTTTCACAAGAAAACCATCAAAGGACAAATTTATTTGTTTCTTTAAGTGTCTATAATTTCTGTAAACTTTATCATTTTCTTTAATAAAGGAACTTTAGAGAGAGAGAGAGAGAAAGAGAGAGCGAGAGAGAGAGAAAGAAAGAAAGGGAGTCCTTATATTTTTCAGGATTTTGCAGCCCATCTTAGGTGCACTCGGAAAAGTTAATGCAAATTGCTAGAAAAGTTGATACAAGTTACTAGATCTTGACCCAAAATTAATTTTATCGTTTAATTCCTGCAAATAATATGGAAGACCCTGTCAGACTTGCATTACACTAGCTGTAAACTGACCTTCAGTTTTTTCAAGTTCAGATTTGACTTCTTCGATGTCTTTTTCCAGACTGCTGATCTTCTCATCATTTATTTTACTTCCAACATTTTTGTACTCCAACCAATAATCTCTCTCACGCTCCTTTTCTAAAATTGTTTGCTTAGTTGCTTCAATTTGGGAGCGCACATCTATTAAAATAAGAATGTCAAAAGACAAGTCCATTACTGAGTTCTTGAACTGGTAATTCTTACAACATCAAATTCTCTAAGAAAGGCACTTTCACATGGAATGGAGAAGGGAAGGGGATTCTTCCACACTACAATACATTGCAATACCTGATGGCCTCCCGTAGTGTCAAGCGTCTATGTTTCATTGCTGAAAACTGCTTGATCTTGTTGTTCCAAGGAGAGACAATAGTTGTCACCAAAATGTTGTACTAAGGATACACATCTCCCACAGAGAAGTGCAGGGATGGCAGCCAGAATTTTCAACAGTCAAAACTGCTCCTTTTTCCTGTCATCAATAATTTTACTTTTAATCTGCAGTGGAGCCAGTGCTTAGGGCTTTCATGAGTTTCAAAAAAGAGGAAGCCTTTGTCCTTGCGCAATACTATACATMATTTGGAAGGGACAGATTGATTTACAAGCCGTCCACAATCTCATACTAAATTGAGAGTGCCCAATTTTKGGGGTGGAAAAGTTTTTTGCTTTTTATACAACATATAAGTTGAATATCTACTTAAATTGCAAAACAATAACAACAACAAGTATTCAATCCCAAGTGTGTAAATTACAAATCACACTTCTACAACTTACAACATACCTTGAAGAACTTGTTCTTTGTCCTTCACAAACTGAAAAACCTCTTTCAGTAACTCTTCCACATCATCCCTAGTTACAACCTTCTTCTCATCTCGCTTTTCCTCCTTTTCATCTAGCTGTCTTACTAAGCGCCTGATAAGTGCTTTCTGTTCTTCCTTCAGAACCACATTCTAAGAACAACAGAAGACACAGCTCATATTAATGTTTTCAAAGTGACAAAAGTAACTAAAGTAAAATCTGGCCTAGTGCCAGATGAAAGGCAAGAACACCCAGCTAAACACTTATTTTTTATAATCTGAAAGGACAGAGCAGAATGGAGAGTTTGCAAGGTTCAGATGTTTCCTCAGTAACTTTAAGACCACTGGAAGGAAATGAGAGACAAATGACAGCTGTCCATTGCCTTGAAAGAAAGCTGCTTGGGAATAATKTAGTAATATTTAAATGTGGGAGTGTCAACAGTGGTTTGGACACTGGCCAAATGCCAGGCACCCATGACATCTGCTCATTTGCTCTCCCCTACCACAGCTGGGCAGAGGAGAGGAAAAAAAAAATAACACAAGGGTTCATGAGTGAAGGACTGGGAGAAAATGCTCCAAGAACAAAACATATTCAACTTAAGTTACACTGTGAATTTATTACTAACAAAGTCAGAGGAGGATAATGAGAAGTAAAATAAACCTTTAAAGATACCATTCTTCCTCCCATCCCCTCCCTCCTTCCCAGCGCTGGATGACAGGGCATCAGGGGTTGCTCAGTTCATCACCAGGATCTTCTTCTGCTGTTCAGGGAGAGGAGTCCTTCCCCTGCTGTGCTGTGGGGTCCCTCCCACGGGAGACAGTTCTCTGTGAACCTCTCCGGTGTAGTCCAATCTCATGAGCAGCAGTCCACACGCACCTGCTGCAATGTGAGTCCCTGCACAGGCAGGCAGTCATCCCAAAACTGCTGTGGCGTGGGTCACTSATCCGCAGGGTACAGTCCTCCAAGGCCAGGCTACTCCMTCTTGGGAGCAAGGCCTCTCTCTCCATGGGTCTCCCGCTGGAACACAGCCTCCTCCAGGCATCCACCCACTCGGGTGTGGGGTACCTCCTCCACAGGCTGCAGGTGGATCTCTGCATTCCCCACGGACCCCATGAGCTGCAGGGGCACAGCTGCTCCACCATGGTCTTCACCACAGCTTGCGAAGGAATCCYGGCTCCAGTGCCTGGAGCAACTCCTCCCTCTCCTTCTCCATTGACCTTGATGTCTCCATGTTGTTCCCTCACATGTCCTCACCTCCTCCTCCTTCTCTGTGTAGGAACAACTGTGTGCACCCTTTGTTTTGATTTCTTCTTAAATATGTCATCACAGAGGTGTAACCAACCTCTCCAATTGGCCCCGCCTTGATCAGTGATCAGCGGCATGTCCATCATCTTCAGAGCCATCAGATATTGGCTCTGCTGGACACAGTGGAGGCTTCCAGAAGTTTCTTCAGAGCCATCAGATATTGGCTCTGCTGGACACAGTGGAGGCTTCCAGAAGTTCCACCCCYCCCCCCCCCCAAAAAAAAAATCAGGCCAAGCAAAACCAGCACAGGGAGTTATTTGCTTCATGTCAACATTCTTCGTGAGAATATACTATCTTCATATAGAAATATCCTGAAACCATCAGGTTGCTTGCATATAGCCACAGCAAAGAGTCTTGTCAGAGTCAAAATCAGTTATACCTCCTGATTCCACAACTGTGGTCATAACCCTTGGCCATGACCCTCTCTAGTGACACTCAGATTATTTAAAATTATTGATTGTGTATGTTTGCTCCCAAAGGAGACCATACAGGAGCAAACTAACAGTTACTAGGCAGTACAGAGAATCTCAAGCATTCCTCACTTCAAGGATTAACTCTAAACCATTCAGAAACATTAAGCAAGAAATAAAGAATGGGGCTCAAAGCACTGTCAAAACATGATTAAATTAAACAAATAGCACTTCACCCATGCTTTAACGTACYCTGCTCAATCTAAAATATGAAGGAGTTCTTAAGAGACCATGAACTAATAGCGAATTGAGGAAAGAACTGTAGAAAGATCGCTGGAGGTAAAATTAGAGGAAACTGGGAAGTTATACTCACACCACAACACAAGTTAAAGTAGTATGGAAATTACAGGGCAAAATGCAGCTGCTATCTCKGAATGGAAAGCAGTTGGCATGCTCAAAATCTCTTCCATGATGATTCCCTACAATCTGCAACCATCACCCTTGCTAAGGGGGATGGAACAGAGGGTGGCGCAGACTGGTGATGCTGTAGATGGGCTGTGTAGAAATTCTTGCTGGGTGGGGAGCTCAATGGTAGCTGATAAACTGCATAGTGCCTCTCAACCAGGGGAGAGAGGAGAAGTTGGGTGACTAGAGTCACTCAAGTTCCACTTAAACATAAAGGAATAGTATAAAAGTAAGCTAGAATGGGAATAAGTTTGGAAAGACTCCRTTGTAACTGCTGGGATCAGGCTGAACCTGTCTTGTCCTCAGAATGGACACCTGTTGGAAAAGAACCATGCTCTGTGGRCACTGAATACTTTCATTGGGGATTACAGCTTGTCTGTCTGTTGCTTTGAATATGCTTTTGCAGTGGGATACTGTCATTGACAATCCTCAAACCTTAACCTGTCACAACTTTATGTTAGTAAAGAGGCGTTATTCCATAAACTGTCAGTGTTGAGTCCTTCAGGGGTGTTGGCCATCAGTAACATGCTCAAATAAAATGGGGAGACCCACTGAGGGGTCATAAAGTGGGGAGACCCACTCAGGGGTCTCCCTTATGTTATTGCTCTGTGTCCCTGAACAAGTCAGTTGAACTGCCTTCTGATCCAGCAATATAACCACAAGAGACATAAGATCCAACAATAATCATAAAAGCCTTCAGAKGTCTGCAGAAGAGCAAATGCCACATCCACTGACAGTTAAGCCACAAATGAAACACCATCCAGGCTTCAAGACTGAAAGAAGTACCACAGAAAGCTGAACAGATAGATTCTTACAAAAGCAGGACAGGCATCAGCATAGCAGGGACAGAGAGACATTTTTTTTCAATGTTTCACTGCTGTGAAGTGCAAGCTGCAACATGATCCACAACGAGGATTTTTTATCAATTTCAATTAATTTCAATAGGTGACTCTCGATTATATACTTTCAAAGTTCACTGCTCACAGTTATCTGTTTATCTACAGCTCTTTTACAGGTTCTTTAAAGTGTCACTCAGGGGCGATCAGTAGTTACTCAACCTTGCTCCAAAAATTACCCAAAACAATTCTTAATCCAYCAGAAAGTGAGTCTTCATCAAGCAGAGCTAAAAATTGCAGCTAGTAAATAGCGTGATGGTCTTTCTTCTTTATTCAGTTTTTATTGTAACTAAGTTTGCAGCAGTAATTAGATTCTCACAGAAACCTGTGCAATTCCATTATTTCAGAAGTCATTCAAAGAAGGTCAGCAAATCTCACTACTTGGTTAGATCTGCTAATACTACTGACCAAATTAAGTTTATACCTTTTATTCTTCATGCATTGAACTACTGAAGAATATTTGCAGGACTGGCTAACAGGCATGTCTGAATGTACTGCAGGAAATGTACCTACTGAAAGGGGGCTTGCTGTCCTGAATTTGTTGCAGAGGAAGATGCCAAAGAAGGGCAATAAAGTTGGTAAAAGGACTAGAGCACAAGTCTGCTATGGAGCAGCTGAGGGAGCTGGAAATGTTTAGTCTGGGGAAAAGGAGGCCAGGTGGCATCCTCACTCTCTCTACAACTGCCTGAAAGGAGGCCATAGCAAGGTGGAGGTCGGTCTCTTCTCCCAGGTAACAAGTGACAGGACAAGAGGAAGTAGCCTCAAATTGTGCCAGGGGAGGCACAATATAATATCCACTATATGTTGGATATTAGGGAAAAAGTCTTCACTGAAAGGGTGGTCAGGCATTGARAGAAGYTGCTCAGGAAAGTGCTGGAATCACTACACCTGGAAGCATTCAAAAGACATGTGGATGTGGCACTTGTGGACCTGGTTTAGTGATAAACATTGGGGTGCTGGGTTAAACAGYTGGACTCGACAAACTTAGATGTCTTTTTCATCCCTAATGATTCKGTGATTCCATGAAATACACAGGTGGTTATGAGGATCTCTTGTGCAACGAAAAGCACTTTCACTGCACTCTACCTTATTGCTGTGTCCTATTCTGCAATGTTCTACTCCTGCAGCTTCTTTTTAGCATGTTATATTTAGGACATTTATGCTATATGTCACATTTAATTCAGATAACACTTTAACTTTCAGCACATAAAGTGACTCAAAAAGTCTTGTCTCATTGACTGTAACAAATTCACTGCAATAACTAGTTTTAATGTATGTAGTATTAGAATGAAAAGAATAAAATTGAATCTGTGAGTAAGAACACCACAAATAAAATTTGTTGGGAGAAGGATGCATAGTCACTTACTCTTTTAATATTTTCTTTGACCTTCACTTCCAATTCTTCCAGATGAACCAAAACCCGCACAATTGCCACTTCTTTTGCCGCAATACTATTAAGAGAGAGTAAAGAAAGAGGCATTCTAATGAAAACATCAGAAAAAGGAATACTATTTAAGATAGATTAGATGTAAATACTAAGTTTATTTTCAATTTTTAATTTTATTTTTAATGTTTATTTTCATATCATATTGCTTGACTCATCTGGGTAGATACCACTGTCTACTTACTACACATAAAGAAATTTCTTCCCATATATATCTGGGCTGGCATGTTAGTTTAGATTTCATATTCCTACATAGCAACAGATTCCCTGGTTGTACTGTTCCTGTGTAGCCTCTTTAGAGGCTGGAGCTGGTTTGTTTTCTCTGCATGTGGTTTAGCTAACCTGTTACACAGGACATGTTCTGGACAACATTATTTGTGCTACAGAAAATATTACTCATCACAAGCTGTAAAGAAAGCCTAAGCAACTCACTCAGACATAGGTCAGATGAATCCCAAACTGGAGAATTAAATGGGATTCAATTCTTCTGACAATGGTTTGTCAAGCTTCATAAACTACATTTGTACACCAAGAGCTTGTTAGCCTTTAAGAAGCAGTAAGAGAACAGGGACTCCAGCCTAATYGGTATGTTCTGTTTGTATATTTTTGTGAAAGAACTAGCTCACTGATTTCACATTTTCATAGACTACTTATCAATCTCTTTGCCACAGCTGTAAAATAAACATTTCTTTCTGGTGTTCTTTCTTCTAGAATGAGAAATGCAAGGTTGCAAATGGCATCTATCTGCAAAACTCCCTGTCATCTGTACAGAGATTTTCCCCAGAATTCATTCATCATATGGCACAATAGAGGAAAGTATTACATTATCACAATGTCTTTTATTCTTTTAACAGTTCTTGTTCCTTCAGTTTTTAGTTTCGGGGTTTTGGATGCTTTTTTTTTTGTTGTTGTTTTCGTTTTTTTCCCCCTTCCCTATTGTATTAAGCTATTTTAAAAGAAGATATTTTTTCCCCTGGCTAATTTGCTAAGTTTGAATCACTGAATCATGCAAATTGCAGGTTACTAAATTTGCATCCTCTGGTGTGCTCCAAGGTATTCTTCAGGTTTTCTATTAAGTACAATGATATTGGTTAGAGATTGGAGCAGAGATATGGGGGTATGTGGTCATGGCCACAGCAAAAGTAACTCATAAGATTGTTGTTGCTCACAAATGCTGAAACAGAGAACTTTAATGAAAATGCAAAATAACAAATTCCCTAGGAACAGTGACCATTCTGCAGTGTATGGAAATAAAAAACAGGAATGGATGTCAAATAAATACTACACACTTGATAAATCTTGAAGTGGAATGTAACAGATATTCACTTGTATGATTATCCTCCTTTGCTCAGTCAAGTGGTACAGAGAAGTTACAGATTACAGAGGTGAACAGAAGGAAAGGAAGAACAGGAGGGAAAGAGATGAGAGAGGGAAAAATATACAAACAGAAAGAAGGATACTTTTCTTCACTTTTCCCCCTACTGTTKCTGTAGAAACTATATATTCCATGTCAGTACATCACTTATTCAGTGGAAGACTCTCAGACAAATGAGTCATTTGTTTGTATATTTGAATATGCATAGCAATAATTTTATCAGAAAGTGGTACTGGTTTTTTTTTTTTTTTTTTCTCTGCCCAATAATAGTGTCCACAATCCATCACAAAATAGATGAGCTAGACGATTGACTTTCCAGATGGTGTTTGTTTGTGATATGATTCAGCTAAATCTGGGCTATTTCACTATGGAAAATGTACCCTGTTTTCTGTAAATGAAACAGAAAATCCCACAYAAACCCTGTGAACTCTTATAGATATCACTACAGCTATACATGGCTATACCATACAAACTTTTCAGTTTGCTTACTCCACTTTTTATTTCCACACCAAGACACTACTCCTTGCTCCTTAAATGCTAATAGTTGTTGGATACTGGGTGTTCCTGAGGTTTTTCCATTTTAATTTCTTTTTGATAAAAGTTGTGGGGCATAGTACTCCTTTTAATCACCTACTCAAGACACTGGAGATAAAATAAATTGGACTGTTTTGTAACTGCTTCACATAATTCTCCCTTAGCTCTTATTTTTCCCTTCTTGATTTTAAGAGACCTTTAATTTATCCATCTCTTACTTTCAAAATAAAACACTTTGTGCTCTGCTCTCAGTTGCACCAAGGAAGACAGCAAACTGTAGGTCTTGAGGTTCTGGCTAGTGACAAGAAACCTCCACGAACACCAAGGAATCCTAAAAAATACAGTCAAATGTGATCTTGCAACTTCAGTGYGATGATCAAAACCTTGCTACTAACAGAAAAAGCATCAGGGTTTTTTGGTTAAAGTAATATTTTTCCCAACTTATAGCCTAAAGGCATAAATTTTCTAACCCATTTAAATGCTTTCTTACAGCTGCAGTCTAAAAAGTGAATCTTTCTGAAATAGCCTCAAAACCCCAAAAGTATCAGCTCAGGCTCTAAGTTAGGTAAGTTGTTTTTGTCATCTGCTTCTTTCATTCACATATTCTACATGAGTATAAAGTTAAAATATCTTAAACATACTGATATTCTAGTAAGGCTTCTGGTAAATCTTGCTGTTCTGGTGGTTTCTTCTTTTTCTTATTTTCTTCCATTTTTTTTATTTGTGCTAGAAAGGAAGAAAAAAATATATAGATGAATGATTTACAAAACATTGTATGATCACAGGCCTTTTTCCCTTGTGACAAACTTGTAATTGTTCTGAATAAACAAAACAAGTTGGGTTTTTGACAGCAATAGTCCTGCCCAGGAAAGCACTCAGCCCATGTTTTTGGGGCAACCTGAAATATATATGTTTTTATATATATTGTGTATATCTGAGCAGATAGAGTGGTCTCTAGCACCAGTTTCTTACTGCATCCCTTGCTGTGGCCTTTTACATTCTTGCAAATCAAACCTGTGGTTTTTCCTTTTCTAGTCCTTTTGTTTTTTTATCAGACTTGTTACTTATCAAGTGCACTATGAATATTTCCCTTTCACTATGCACCATAGCACTATGAATATTTCCCTTTCACAGCAACCCTGATACCATTTTCATTGTCAGAGCTGGAACAAAACCACTTTCTGAAGGGGTATGCATGTCAGCAGTATGCCCTGGGCATGCTGTCACAACTACCAACCTCAGAATTCAACTGGCAATGAATTCTAGTTCTGTAATGGAAYTGGTAGCATACATTACACAAAATGAAAAGTCACAAGAAAGGGAACTTATAAAGATTCCTCACTTTTACCAGTCATTTAATCAAATGCCCAAACCAGAATAGTTTATATAATATAGGATGTTTTATTACTGAGTAGTAATGAGTAGAAACTTCTATGAGTAGAAACATCATACATAACCTGTTTTCAGGTGTTTGCATATTAAACTGCTTCTCAGAATTTAAGTTCTGAATTTTACAATAGTAGCTGAAATTGACAAAAGCTTGTTCTGTGACTAAACACAGCAGGCTAGATACTTTTTCCTATTAAAAGGAACACAAGTAAACAGGAAAAAAAATTCGGTAAAAAGCCATGTAAGCAAGCCTATAAATCAAGGGAATGAAGTTAAACCAACTACTGACAGATGCACTGTCATCCATACACTGTCCTATGCCTTTTCACCACACTCACCATACCACGAAGCAAGGCAATGCCAGCTTTCTGTATACAAAACAACATTCTATCCTATTTCACACATAACTTTGGCAGTTTCCAATTCAATACAATATTTTTTTATGAAACTTTCAAAAATTCTAAAGCTATTTTAAGACTGAGATTTTTTAAAAAAGCAAACAAGCAAGGGGAATAAGGAAATAAGCTCACTGAGGCAGGAAGTACTTTGCTCCTCCTAGACCCCTTTGAAATTTCCAACCCAAATGCGTAAGTGCAGGATACACTTGTTAAGTGTAAAAAAGAATCCATCATACTTCTTCTGTGCAGAATTAACTGGACTGGTATTGATTCCTTTTCCACTTGAGCATTTATTTTACTGATTTTCCTCAGAAATGGAAGATCAATAGAGCAATCCCTAAGGTTTTCTTTAAATTATTTCTGTCCCTTTCACTAAATGGATAATCAAATTCCCTGCTTAAAACAGGATATAAACTGAAAATTTTGAGCAGGAGTATTTTTAAAAAGCTTAGGGCCTTTTTTTTTTTTTAAATTCCAGACCCAGATGAGCTCCAGTGACATATTTATGAAATTCTTCCCAATCAGAGAGGAGGAACAAGAAACCCTCCAAGCTGTACAAGGTAAAAAACCCACATACTACAATAAAGGATTTGCTGGATTTTTCAAACCATAGAAAATACACACACACGAGAGAGAGGGGAACATATTTGAGGGGACTGAGAATGGACTGCACATTTTAAACCCACAGGAAAATATTTGCAGAAGGAAAGATCTGTTTCTTCTTCCAAACAAATAAAATTGTAAAACTCTTGACTGACCCCCATTATCACTACCAGCACTGTCTCAAGCAATAACTACACTGCCATAGCATCCTTAGAACGAGCAGCCAGCCTGCAACCCAACTACTGTGACTTTCCAGAAGCTCTTTACAGAGACCACCTGTACAGCAGCTCACCACTCTCATGAGCTCAATCATAATCATTAATGCCATCCAAACCTGCACCTGCACTCACATAATTACCTCCATATATCGAGCAGCTACCAGTAGCCTCCACATCCCCATCAATTATAGACTCACAGAATAAGCAGACTTGGAAGGGATCTGCAAGAATCATCAAGTCCAACTCCTGGCCCTATGCAGGACACTCTGAGAATATCACACCATGTGCCTGAAAGAACTGTCCAAACATGTCATAAACTCTGCCAGGCTGGTGCTGTGACCATTTCCCTGGGCAGCCTGTTCAAATGCTCACCCACCCTCTGGGTGAACAACCTTTTCTTAATATTCAATATAAATCTCCCCTGACACAGCTTCAGGCTATCCCCTCCTGTTCTGTCACTGGTTACCAGAGAGAAGATTGGTACCAGGCCCTCTTACTCTCACAAAGAAGAGAACTGCGAAGAGGTTTTCCCCCAGTATCTTCTTCTCCAGGCTAAACCAACCAAGTGACCTCAGCTGCTCCTCATACATCTTCCCCTCTAGACCCTTCACCATTCTCATGTCCCTCTTTTGGACACTCCAACAGCTTAATGTCCCTTTTGTGGTGCACAGAATTGCAGAGTATGGCAAATCCATTATCTCAGTCACGCTGCAACTCGGTACAATAACACTGTAAGCCCCTCCCAATCTCCAAAACAGGCTAACAATTCCCTCTGCCCTCAATCCATCCCTGGCTAACCCTTCCCGCACGTCCCTTGCGCGTATTCCCCACAACCCCCTTTAACCATCAGGACCTCAGACAAAGCTGGGCCACCCCTCACCGAGCTCAGCAGGCACCAAATCCCCCTGRCGCTGTCACCCTGTGCCCGAGCTCCCCGCCACGGCCGAAGAATTCCCTGAGGAGCCTCCCCCCGCCCTGCCGCCACCCCCAGCCCGTCCCCTCTTCACTGCCCCGCGCCTCGGCCCGGCCCTGCCGCGCGCCGCGCCCGCCGGTCGCCATCGCGACGGGGCCGGGAGCCACGGCGGCCACCGGCGCCCTCTGGCCCGGCAAACGAGAAGTACGAGGGAAAAAAGCGTGTGGGACGGCCTGGGTTTCGCTCAAACGCCGTGCCAGGCTGCAATCCTGATGGGAAATGGCAGCTCTCTTCAAGAAAGAGCGCATGTCCCAGCCCCGTACTGGGACAGGCCCACACCGAATGTGAGCTGGCCCACCCATGGCCGCAGGGCTGCTTTCTCAGGAGCTCCTCTTTACAGCTCCCTGAGCCATCCAAGGCAGTGATGGAGCCTTGGGTGACTTCTGTGCTGCGGTAACAATAGCTGTACTCTGCGGTCTGTGATCCTTTTGCTCCACACCAGTACCCAGTGGCTCAAGAAGATGGAAAGGAGGGCTGGAGTCTGATACTGAACTACTTCTCTCTTCCTGGCCGGTGGACTGCAATAGATTTTGGATAGGCTCTGTATGTTTCCCTCCTTAATCGGGTATCAGAGGCTGAGCCATGCAATCCTGGGAGCCATACCCAGCCACAGAAACCACAAAAGTGCAGTTGTCCACCTTCTTGGGCAACACAGAATCAAAGAAGGGCTTGTGTTGGAAGGGACCTTGAAGATCATCTAGTTCAATCTCCCTGCCATTGGCAGGGATGWCACCCACTAGTTCTGTTTGCTCATGGCCCCATCCATCCTGGCCTTGGACACTTTTAGGAATGCAGCATCCACAGCTTCTCTGGGCTCTCCTCTTTTGGTTTAAAACCATTCACCCTTGTCCCATAACTATATGCCTATGTAAAAAAAAAAAAAAACTTTCTCTCCTTCTGTTTTCATAAGCCCCCTTTAAGAACTGGAAGGCTGCGATGTTTCCCCATAACCGCCTTTCCTCCATGCTGAACATTCACATTTACTTACTTTGTTCAAAATGTTTGGCCAACCCTGTGGGAATTTATTTTTGTCCTTTGAGAAGTCCTGTTTGACATAATACAGCAGTCTCCAAAATTAGGGCATATTCATTAAAGTAAGGACAAAATGCGACAGGCAGAGATCTCTAGCAATACCTCACAAGAGTAAATTTAAAGGTGCCTCGCTCAGTGGCAGCAGAATTTAATTTTTTTTTTTTTTTATTTGGGAGCAAAACAGAAGGAAAATTATCAGGCCCTAGTCATGCACATTTGATCTTTGAAGCCATTTCTCTCATGCTCATTATTCTCAAGCSAATAATTTTCTTACCAAGAGAGCACCCTACCAAGTAATATAAATTACCCACATTGTTTCCTTTTACAGTTTGCWCTTTTGGTGTACATTCTCTTGTAATGTTTTAAAATAAATTCTAAAAATTCTAAAATGTTTTTGAAGGCTTACTTTTTAGAAGTAAGTAATAGAAGACATAAAGAAATGCCTTCTGTTGGYAAGGTGTCAGAGAATGTGTTTCTCCAGTGTGCCATAAGCTAGGTAGGGAGGTCAGAAGTTGTACACTCATATACACACACACACATGCAGAATAGAGAGCCATTCCCATCTCTCCTCAAAGGAAAAAAAATAAAAAAATAAAAATAAAAAAAGAAAGTAGAAATGGAGTTTAGTAGAAGTCAGGAATAACAACACTCAGCAGGTGCAGGACATGGGCAGATAAGGACACCAAACAGACCCCTTTACATGTGATTGACCCTTTTTATCCCCTTGTGCTTCTGTTTTCCTATGCTTACTCTCCTTACTGCCTTCCTTCGGGCATGTGGAGATCTTTTTATGGCATAACCTAACAGTATAGAAGAWTTTAAAAGGAAAAAAAATGTTATCTTGGGCCCCAGGAACCAGTTGAAGGATGAAAAGCAAGGGATGACRTGGTCGAAGTCACCAGCCTGGAAAATATCACCACAGCCATTTAATGCAAGAAAGTTGTTGCAGGGAATAATATCTTACTATGTCTTTGGTCTTTATTTTTAAAGAAGCCATTAAATGAACAACATCAGAGTTAGCTGTGCTTTATGTTAGTTCTTCAGAGAGCAGCTGAGTGTCAAAAGAGGTTGAGTGACAGGAGGATAYAGGAGGAAAGAAAGCATTATCAGCTTGATTTGCTTCACTGGAAGTTACAGTCTCTTCAACTAGTACCTGTCATTTTGTAAGGGCATCAAAGCACTCATTAATTTATTCATTATAGGAAGAAGTGGGATGACTTCCTTTTTGCTTTGGATAATGGCTGGAGAGACAGACATGCTGAATAAGGGGGTGAAGGAAGAAAGGTGATCCATTTTCTGACTTTGATAGCAATATTACTACACAAAGACAACTGCAGGTTATTTTCATTTCGTTTTCTTTTATTCCCTGAAGATGTCATAACATTCTGTGTTGCATTGTAATCAAAATCATCTTGTATCTTTTGATTGTGCTGAGAAGTTAACAACTCTGTGACCGTGCATGGGGAAGATGAAGAGGCGGCTGGGTAGAGTACATCGTTTTATCACTAATTTTTGTTCTCTGCTGCCACCTTGAGAGTGTTCAGGCTCAATTCACTTGAAAAACAGCCGTTCTACGCTTAGGTGAAATGCACAGATTCTTCAAATCTACTGTATCAGCGCAGAGTAGCTGGATAATGGGTGCAGTCTCTTTCCATCTCTTTCCAAGTTACTGAGGAATGAGTCTGAAAGTCCTTCAGGTATTCTGTGTTCTGAGAATTGTTCAGACATTTTCGGTTTCTTCTCTATTGCGAACACTGAGGATACCAACCGGCAATCGGTCTGAGCTGGGACAGTCCTTAAACACATAATCTCACAGATTTMATCAGAATCCATTGCAAGAACACCTATCAAAATAAATTGTGAGCAGTAGAGTTCACCTATATATTTTAACAGAGGACACACTCCATATTCAGTGTCTCAGTAGTCACTTGTCACTGTTCTGGAGACCTCTTCCACCCAGCCGCAAGAAGCTGCCTTTTTCTAAGCTTGGGTCCAAACTCCTTGATTAAATGGGGAATTATTTTGGGCAATGGGTACACCAGATTTACCAGTTTCATCTCCATCCAGCAGGGGTCAAGCATAGCCACAGCTGCCAGCTGATACAGCGTGTCCGGTCCTGAAACGCTGTTTTACCCCTGCCTTCCTTATTCTTTGGGACGGCTGTGAGAGGGGARAAATGTATTTTACACAAGAGAAAAGTACATTCCATCTGCAAAGAGTGTCTAAAGGGCTTTTTATCACTTCTAATKAAGTGATGTTTCTTGATCTGCACTGAACAGGACTTTAGTATGTGTTTGAATAAATACAGCTTAGTATGCTACATTGRGATGAATAAACAGGGTATGTAGATGAGAGGTGTTTGAATGAAAATTATTAAGGGGAGCAAGCAACTTTTAAGCTTTCACAAGTTCTCCAATTCACTCTGATCCTTGTGAGCTGAATGTAAGCCTTATTAAAGGCTTATTAAGCCAGAATTTCGTTGCACAGTGCATGAAAAGCATGCTCTAATCCCTTATTTTGTCATCAAAAAGGAGAAGTTGCGTGTAAAATGCTTGAAATTTAAAAGACATATCATTGACCAAAACTTTACACCAATGCTATGAACATTAAATTTTCTCTAGAAGTTGTTTCACCATATCTAATTTCGAGAAGGAAGTGAAACATAAAAATTTGTTGTTAGCATGAAGCCAGGGCTGATGGTGTAGGATTTGGTGGCTGAATGGGCTCAGGCTGGGAACACGGTGGGGATGTAATTCAAAGCAGAGCTGCTGCGAGCGAGAGCCGAGCCAGCGCTCCGGCCGGCGGAGGGGGGCAGGTGACACACGGGCTGCCCTCAGGGCACAGCGGCTCCCCTCCCGGGCACGCCAGACGCTGAATTCCTCCCGCTGTCCCAAACTAGAATTAAATCAATTAGATCAAGCACTGTGATAAGAACGTGCGTAAGGGGAAAATAACAGCMCGGCAGCTCTCCATATGCCGGGGTCGGAGCTGTCGCTCTGCTCGCAGAGTCACTCTAGCCTCAGAACTCCCGTGGTGCCTGGCTGCCCAGGAAATAGCGGCATGTGTATTTTGTGCCACTAGTTAAACAAAAAAGCACTTACAGCGGCTTCCTGAACAAACAGATGACTGAAACCTCTGTTATCSCTGCCCGTATCTTTACTCAAACAGGTGTGTATATTCACACTTCTTGGGTTGCCTATCACCAGGTAAAGTGAAATACTGACCATTGTCCCTCACGGCACCTCGTCAAGTCAAGCCGGCACTCCTTGCGTGGATTTCGTGTGAAGCAGTCACTGGCTTCTGTGGAGCTGCTGCCTCGGAGCAGCACCCTGAAAACCACCTCTGAAAACCACCCCCAAGGCTCCCGCAGCCCGCGGGCACTGTCACCGCCCCGCCCGGCCCCGCGGCGCGCATTCGGGGGGTGCCACAGGTGACACGAGTGCGAGGGTGGGCCGGGCCGTGGGGAGCCGCCCCGCTCGGAGGGACGGGCGCCGGCATTGGCCCGGGGCGGCGGGACGGGCTTGGTTTCTGCCAGCGCCGCCGCCTCCCTGCCCTCAGACAAGCGGGGCGGAGGCGCGGGGCAGCGCCTGCCCGCCGGGACCGGGGAGCCGGCGCTGTCTCTGTCTCTGGCCGCAGGGAAGGAAGGGGGAGCTGCGGAGGGGGCGGCAGGAGAGGTGAGGTTGACCTAGAAAGGGCTCTGGGGTGGGCGAGGGGGTGTTGTTAATGGAGTGATTCGGGGTCAAAAAGGGTGTTGTTAATGGAGTGATTCGGGGTCAAAGAAGCCGCCCGTGCCCGCATTGCTGGGATAGTGTGAGAGCTGGCTGGCCGCTGGGGAGTCCTGGCTCCCAGCCTTCGCCAGCCGGGCTGCCCCGCAGTGTTTGGCCGCGGTCGGATTGCAGGACTTTCACCTGAGGACGGGGCAGCGCTCACAGGTGTCTCGCCAGCCCGGGCCTGGGTGTCGGCGTTTATCAGCGCCTTTCTTCAGAACTGCTTCTYCCCCGTGCCAAGGACGGGCTGAGCCCGGACACCCTCTGCTGCTGCTGCGGAGGGGAGCGTCTGTCCGGGRTGAGAGCTGGGTAACTGTCAGAACTTCCCTGCACCGAGCTCCTGCAGTCWGCTGGCATGGGAGGACTCTCTTTATTTAAATAAACTGCTTAGATCTCAGCTGAGAGATGTTAATGACCTTTGTGTAAATAGTAAACAYATTTAATCTCAAAACACTGAAATTTACTTGCATCATCTACTCTGTCTCTGGAATAACTTGCAGGATTGGACCGGGCCCTAAAGTCTAATGCACCCAGTTGTGTCTTTCCTGTGTGAACAGAAGACTCTGCTTAGATGATTGCCAGGGTGAAGATTACTTAAATCTGGGGGCAGATTGTGAAGTGTCAAGTATTTTAGAGCTTCCTTAAGAAGTGTAAGGGGAGGGGACTTAGAACATGTGTTGGTGGTGCATCCCCCCACACTCATTCACAACAYATGCTTGACAGGATGCTGTGAGAAGAAACTTGATTTATTTGCTAAAAGAAGTGATCAAAATGTTGCACCAAAACATTTGTGTGTTTACACACAGATTGAAGCTCTCTGTGATGGAGTGTTTAAAAGACTAACGAATCAAAGTGTTTTATTAAACTTGTATACAGCAACAATGCACCTTACCAGTCATTAGTTCTTAATTACSATTAGTCATTATCATCTCTTTCCCAAACAGTTCTTAACAATCTCATATGTAAGTGGTAGTAAACCGGGAGTATACAATACCCTGGAGCTGATGCCCTATATTTAGCACTGATGATACACTTCTTGACGGTTTGTTTAACTTGCAGGAGTCACATTAGAGAGTGAGACTCTCACAAGTAGAGAGCTTGAGARCTCCTTTGCAAAAGAAGCTGGAATCGAAGTGAGTATTTTGTATTTTTCATAAAATATCATCCTTCTTTTTTTAATTGTTTATATGTTGTGCACCTTGATGCCTCCCTGGAAGAAAAGGGGGTGATCTCAGATGACATAGTTCATATTATTTGAGGGAGCTTCATATTACTGCTGAGCTKACTGTAATGTTGTTAARCATCTTTCTTATTTGTTTTGCATSTTTATTCTATTTCCATCAGACATATCTTCTCTTYGTTCTGCAGTCTTATTTTGCTTTCATCTGACATCTTTCCTGTCCACTCTACATTCTTTGTTCTTATCTTATAGATTTTACTATTTGCATATGCTTTCTTGTGCACTATGTGGGCAAGTATACTGCAAGTCTCTGTTTGCAGTTGTGTGTTACTTACATATTTATAGAAAATATTACTAATACTGTTCAGTGTTACAAAATGCTTATACACTGCTACCAATTACCATACCTTAGAGTATTTATGTCTAGGTTTAAGGCAAGGAAATAATAAGCATCTTAGTCTGCTTCTACCTTATCTGTGCAGCCATTCTCTGCCTTGTCTGTAAGTCATCTTCTTAAATTCCCTGAAGCTGTCATTGGACTTGTCTCTTGTAAAAAAAAAATTTCCTTCCAGCATTTCTCGCATCCTAAAATAATGTATTATCAATTTCACTGTCAGACTTTTAAAATTCAGTGAAATAGGTCTTCATGTTCTTGTTTTCCCATTCTGACAAAGGCCAGAGTGCACAACACTCCTTTACCTCAAAAATGGATGACAGTAAAGTGAATTTATCATTTCTTTGAAGAGCCAGTGCTTTGGAACACTGGACAGTACTCCAGGAGTGCTCCTGGAGAGAGATCATGTGCAGGTATTCTCTGGAGTAAACTCCTGTTATTCTGCAGGAGATACTTGCCMAATTCCCAGGTGGAAATACTGCTGCAATTTAGTACATGGAAAAAACTTTTGATGCTTGCATCCAGTTGCATCTGGAAAACTGGAGACCAGGAAAGCTGTAGGATGAAGTTWAAGAAATTACTTCTTTTCTACCCTGTATTATTTCCTGTCCTCATAACAGAAAGGGATGAAACAGACTCCACACAAAAATCTAATAAGAAAACATTATTTGCAAGGAAATATGAAAGTAATTTGTAGTCTCTCAGTAGGAAAAAATTGTTTAATTTTCTTTTTCTTTAATTAAAAGTGATGCTTCTCTCCTATGGAAGTCACTCTTGAATAAAGAGTGACTCGTTTTGAACCACAGTAAAGATCTTTTTTCTCTGCACAGAAAGTGCTTTTCATCTGGGATGGCTAAATGATGACTGCTAAAAGCAGTAGCTACCCTTCTCCTGCTTGAAGTCCATYACTTGCTGCATTTGAAGGTAGCTTATTTAGGTTGATCAGTAGTCAATTTAAGGAGGCTCCTTAGTTGAGTTTTCCAATGCCAAAATGTGTATGTCAGACCAGTGATGTTGCATTTGCTGTATTAGCAGTCTCCAGGTTTTTTAACTTATTTGGGCATAATGTGATTGACAGCTGATTTCAGCAGACTTATTCATGCTTCATTCTTGTGGTAGGGASTCATCTGGGTACAACAACTGGCTATGCTAGATTCTTCATGTTATAAGGTTTCCTTGCTATATGTAATTTGACTCTGTTTATTTCATCAAGAGGGGCAAAGGTAAGAGACATAATGTATACAYGAGGAGGAGGAAAAGAATGCTTCTCCCCCATCTTTGTTTTTTTTCCTGGGTGATAATGACAGACTATTTTTGACTTGAAACCCACTCAATATCCTGTGCCTATACACCAAAATAATGAACAACTTGACAATTTGTTGCCCAGAGAGGCTGGGGACTCCCCATCCCTGAAGGTATGCTAGGCCAGACTCATGTGGCTTTGAGTAACCTGGACTAGTGGAAGGTGTCCCTGCCCAYTGCAGGAGGGCTGGAACCAGATGGTCATTTCCAACCCAGACCATGCAATGGTTCTATGATCACATTTTTTTCCATTACATCTTGGTATGTTCCTTCTTCTCTGTATTATAAATCTTGTAAAAGTATTTTTTTTTATTTCTCTGTCCAAGTCAAGGAAATTTTGCCTTTCATCTCTCTCTGTGTCTGAGTATAAATAAAAAGTAAGAAGACAGGGGATGCTTATCTGTGGAATAATTAGCAGAACAGTATCCTAGATTCATTGCAAAATGGTTTTGTTCTACAAAAGCGTTAAACCATGTTGGTAAATTCTATATGAAATTGCCTGCCCATGTGTGATTCTGACTGACTGATAAAGTGGCAGAGACTTAGTTCTGTACTGGCTGGCGGACAGTGGTTAGACTATGTGATCTCAGCTGTCTGCTGGAGCTCCAGGAGTTTAAGAACTCCTGGGTTAGAAATGCTTTCTACACCATTAGCTTGTAGATGTTAAAGTCTACCACCATGTTTTTCTCCTCTAATGAATTTAAATGGCTAATGTGATTTTAAAATGGCATTAAAATAGAACTTCTGTTATGAAAAATTAAGGATGAGGTCAAAAAACCCTCTGTAATTGAACTTGAAGCACCATAAGCAAAAGATATGTACCCAAGTCCTAGGCAGAAATCTGTCAAACAAGCAGAAGTAGTGAGCCCTTAACCTTCTGTTCTCATCCTGCCCAGGTAGCTTGTTTTTTAATCCTGTGATAACTTTGTTGTGTAAGTGTCATTAATTTTACCTTGCTTCATAATGATGATGTTACTTGTCTGGAAGTCAAGAGATCTGGATTAAAAATTAATACCCTCAGGTTACTATCCTGTTCCCTGTCCTCTTCTAGAACTGGACTGCTCTATAGCCAGGAGTGCAGGTCTGTCTGGATGAGGGGAGAGGTTAGGAGAGACCTTGATGTTTTGTTTTTTTTTTAATAGTGCCTTGGCCGAGAGAAAGTGTACCTGGCTTCCTGTTTCTCCCTGCAAAGTTGTGACATCATTTTAACAGTCATTCCTTGAGGTTTAATCCTTGGTAGTTCAGCCCTAGGAAGGGTCAAGAGAGAACCAAGCAAACCCTTCAGAGACCATCATGTATTTTGGTGAACAAGGGGATGTACACTTGAATCTTCTTYGGTTAAGTGGTCATGGTGGCTCTGGATTTGGCTGCTTCCTGGGTATGTAGCTGTAGCTATTGGGCAAGTGAGCTAACACCTTGCATAGCTATGCTGTTAAAGAATGAGCCACTCCTGCAAGACTAAATACCTGTTCAGGGACAGGCCTGATACTCCGAAACCCAGCCTCACAAGCTCTGAACTCCTGATTTAGCTACCTGTATATGAGAAACAATTTCTGTTACAATCCTTTGCTCCCTCTTTCCTATTCTTGTGCTATTCAGCAGCGTTTTTCAAGCAATATCCTTTTCATGCAGTGCGATTTGACACCACACCTCATCCAGTGCAACTGAAGGCTGCTCCAGAAACTGTTCCCTGCTTCATGCTTCTCAAGAGTCACAGTTTGGTTATACTCTTGTCATGGCCTTTTATGCTTCTTCCACCGCAGCAYACCTCACTTTTCAGTGTCAGAATCTCTGCTTGCATCTGACCATTAGTATTCRGGGAAATTGGTAATGCTTAAGGAAAAGAGAGTTTTGCACTATACAGCCCAGCCCAGCAGTGCAAACAATCTCATGAGTGAAGTTCTCATGGCTGATAAACTTCCTGTTATTCTTGCAGGTTAATATCAGTATTGGGAAAACTAACACTGCTGCTGGCTGTTTTCAGCTTAGCCAGAATGATCCCAATAGCAGACAGAAATTTCATGTTATGAGGCTATATGTTAAAACATTATGCTTGGGAAGATGAGTTATTTTCCTCCCAATAGGGAGCTATATTAGCTTTTCTTAATGTATTCATTTAAAAAAAAAAATCCTACAACTATATAAATAAGCAAAACCCCAATAATCTTGAAATAAAAACTTCATTGCAAAGTTTAAGTTAATTTTGGTGACGGAGGAGAGACCTAATTCTGACTGGTCTATGTGCAGACTGCATGCTACCTTTTTAAAGCATTTTGAATGATAATTTTTTTAACCACATTGGTTTTTAACTTACCTAGAAAGTTTGCCACAGTGCTTTTTTTCCCAACTTTCTCTTTGGCTTACTTATTGTTTCTGTGACTGAGGGACTCCTAAAGCATGTTTTCTTTCTTCTAGCACCTGATTAGTGCTGATAAATGTGTGAGGCCCTGTTTTCAGGTAGGTGTGTGCTTTAGTTACGGTAACAAGGACCCAATTAATTGACGTAAACTTTCTTAGTAGCCTTCAGATTACATAATTTATTAGGTAGGTAATTTTAACTTTCAAAACTTGCATGAGTGAGTGTCTGAGGTGAGTGGTTAGTCAGTCATCCTGTCAGATAGGACAGCCAAAGGGCTTGTTCTGTTTGCTGRCTCTTTGTGCACAGTAGAAATCAATTAAATAGAGCTGTAGTTAGAAAACAAGGCTGGTAGCTGGAAAGTAGGGRGGTTGCAGAAACAAATCAAAATGATTCAGGTGAGTTATGTGTTCTTTTGATTCCCACAGGTATTTTTTGCAGTTAATTGTCTGAGAACRATGGAATGCCTTTTGCAATATTCTGTGTGATCCCAAATTTGTGTTGGACTGCAGGCAAAGGTGCTCTGGGGAAGCTGAGATTGTGGCCTCTGACAGGGAAGGCAAAGATGGTGTAAAATGTTGCTGTCTTGATTAGGCAATTTTATGCTTAACATGGACCACAAAGCTGTATTGTGCACCCTCCTGCAGAGGCAATGTGCTACCAYCAGTGACCTGAGCAGCTGGCCATGACAGTGTTTTAGAGCAGATCTAAGAGGTACATGAAAGGGGCAACCTGTTAAGCCACAGGTTCCCAGTTTTACAAAAACAGTGAAGGAAAATCAGTCTGTCAGTGACAGTGGCTGTCCTTGTTCAACTAGCTCATCACCTTGACTCAAAGGAGARGTAAGAGTGGAGCTCTTACAGTCACAGGGATGCAACAAACACTGACTAATGGATTTCCA